AAACGGGCGCGGCGGCGAGCGTTGGCAGAAGCATCCAAAAGTGGGGGCAAAAGGGCGCGGCCCGAGAATCGCCCGAATGAGGAAAATAACAACGCGGCGGCGAAGGCAACGAACAACACCAAAACATGTGGAGACAGAAGGGCGCGACAGCGAAAGCAACCAGAGGCACCCTAAAATGGAAACAACAGCGCGCGGCACCCGAAATAGGAAACGAACGGGCGCTGTGGCGGGAACGAGTAGAAGTACGCAGTACTTGATGAAAAACGGACGGAGGCAGAAAGCATGCGGGGGAGGGTGGGCGGGGAGAGTGTTCCGTGCCGGAAACGCGACCGCGCGCTACACCCGTGGGGCAGAACAGCGCCATGCGCGCTACGACAGAACAGCGCTTGCAACAGAACAGCGCGTTGTGCTAGGTGAGGCAAATGCACCGGGTGCCTGACGTGCCAGCTGCAGCTGCTGAGGGGATGCCGCGCGGACATAAGACAGCGCCCTGCGCTGCGTGGCCCCGCGGCTCCCTGCGAGCTGCGACATGGCAGCGCCGAGCGCTACGTGACAGCGCCGAGCGCTATGGGGGCCCTTGACATTTTAGATGCAAGTTGTCGTCGTCCGTCGCAGGCGTCGCCGCCCGAACCACTGGGGCATCGACGAGAAAACATCCGCAAACGTGCCTGGCATCTCTGGCAGGTGTCCCCGTCAGTCGTGCAGGAACTTGTGCAGGCCCAGGTCTCGCGCCAAATTCTCCGCCGCTTCCCTGCAGCGCTCAGTGCGAGCACTGAACGTCCGGAGGCGCTTGGCCAGGTCTGCCGGCGGCCCTCGGCGCAAGAAGTCGAGGCCTGGATCGCGCAACATGAGGAGTTTGGCGGACGTCGTCGCGCGGGGGGGCATGACGTATAGGTGGAGCCATGGGCCGTCCATGTCGTCAGCGTCCTTGTGCCCGGCGTCGACAATGACGCCCTGGTGCGCGGCCCGGCCGTGGCGCACCGTCGACGGCAGCGCGTGGGCGTGGGGGATTTGAGGACCCGTGCGCGTGACTTTGTGCTTGCGGAAGTCAAAGGGGCTCGGCGTCTGCGGCCCGATGAAGACCAGCCGCGCCGCGTCCGAGACGTCGATCCCATTTGCGTGCTCTACCAGCCGTTCGCAGAAAGGGGCGGCCTTGTACTTGTCCATGCGGACCCGCACGCCGAAGGGCAAGTAGCGCAGGTGCGCAGGGCGGTTCTCGGCATTCGCGCGTTCCACCTCCTCCTCGCCCCGAGGTTTGATGGCCGCGTGCGCGATCTCGCCCTCGGCGTCCTCTACCAGTCAGGTTCAGCCAGGTGCTCGAGCAATCGGATTTGCACGCCCAAATGCAACGGCGACATGCCGTGCATCCCGCCACTCATGCCCGGGTTGACCTTGTTTATGAGTTTCGCGGCCAGGTCTAAGGGCAACTGGGGCGAAGAGGCGTCGGCGGCCTGCGCGAGGTAGAGGAACTGCCGTAGAATCTGCGCGCCCCGCCTTGCGCGCATCATCATCCAGCGAGCCACCTTGTCCCAGTACCACGCGAGCATGTGCCCCGTCTGGAACCGCTCCACGGCAAGCCGGGCGTCGTCCGTGCGCGCCTGGATGCGTCTCCACGCATCGGCGACGCCGACCGGCACCTTGCCCTCCTCCGGCCTCCGATGAACCACGAACGTGGCGACAGTGGCGCAGATCGTAAGCCCCCCAGGGGGCGGCGAGGTGCCGAGGTGGTCCGCGTGGGACGCACCTCCGCTGGGCCTCCCAGGAGCCCGCGAAAGTGGCGACAGTTGCGCGCGTCGCAAGCACCCCAGGGGGCGGCGAGGTACCGAGGTGGTCCGCGTGGGACGTGCCTCCGCTGGGCCTCCCATGAACCCGCGAAAATGGCGACAGATGCGATGATCGCAAGCCCCCCCCCCCGGAGGGGGCGGCGAGGTGCCGAGGTGGTCCGCGTGGGACGCACCTCCGCTGGACCTCCCAGGAGCCCACGAAAGTGGCGACAGTTTCGCAGATCGCGATCCCCCGAGGGGGCGGCGAGGTACAGAGGTGGTCCGCGTGTGACGTACCTCCGCTGGGGCTCCCAGAAGCCCACGAAGGTGGCGACAGTTTCACTGAACGCGCACCCCCCAGGGGGCGGCGAGGTACCGAGGTGGTCCGCGTGGGGCGCACCTCCGCTGGGCCTCCCAAGAGCCAGCGAAAGCGGCGACAGTTGCGCCGGTCGCAAGCCCCCAGTGGGGCGGCGAGGTACCGAGGTGGTCCGCGTGGGACGCACTTCCGTTGGACCTACCAGGAGCCCGCGAAAGTGGCGACAGTTGCGCAGATCGCGATCCCCCGAGGGGGCGGCGAGGTACAGAGGTGGTCCGCGTGGGACGTCCTTCTGTTGGGCCCCCCAGGAGCCCACGAAAGTGGCGACAGTTGCGCAGATCGCAAGTCCCCCAGGAGGCGGCGAGGTCCCGAGGTGGTCCGCGTGGGACGTGTTTCTGCTGGGCCTCCCAAGAGCCAGCGAAAGCGGCGACAGTTGCGCAGATCGCAAGCCCCAAAGGGGGCGGCGAGGTACCGAGGTGGTCCGCGTGGGACGTACCACCGCTGGGCCTCCCAGGAGCCCACGAAAGTGGCGACAGTTGCGCAGATCGCGACCCCCCGAGGGAGCGGCGAGGTACCGAGGTGGTCCGCGTGGATCGTACCTCCGCTGGGCCTCCCAGGAGCTTACGAAAGTGACAACAGTTGCGCAGATCGCAAGCCCCCCCAGGGGGCGGCGAGGTACCGAGGTGGTCCGCGTGGGACGTACCTCCGCTGGGCTTCCCAGGAACCCGCGAAACTGGCGACAGTTGCGAGGGTCGCAAGCCCCCCCCCCCCGAGGGGGCGGCGAGGTACCGAGGTGGTCCGCGTGGGACGCACCTCCGCTGGACCTCCCAGGAGCCCGCGAAAGTGGCGACAGTTGCGCAGATCGCGATCCCCCGAGGGTGCGGCGAGGTACAGAGGTGGTCCGCGTGGGACGTACCTCCGCTGGGCCTCCCAGAAGCCCACGAAAGTGGCGACAGTTGCACTGAACGCCCCCCCCCGGGGGGCGGTGAGGTACCGAGGTGGCCCGCGTGGTCCCCCATTGATCGCAACCTCTAGGCAAGGCCACCCAACAGACAAGACGGCGAGACAGGAATCAGGAGCCAGACGGCTGGAGAGCTCATAAGGCAGGAGCGAGGGGGCGGCAGAAGGAGGGTGGAGACCACACTGCTCTATTCATAACGAGAACCCAACACAGGATGGTTGGGAATAAACTAGTTCAAGTGTGGAAAATTCAGAAACCCAGAGTTCTTTCATTGTCCAAAGAGGAGACCAAGGATTTAGAATTATTTTGAAAAAGTCGAAGACTTTGTTTCTTCATTTTTTCAATCCAGCGTGGGCGGGATTGAAGTTTCAATTTTCAATTTGTCCATCTGGAAAAACTGGGACTGAAATGGTTAATTTTCGTAATTCCAATCCCGAGGGTCCAGGTTTGACATTTTCAATTACCGACTTTCGGCCCCATGAGTTTTGAACTTTTGAGCGATCGTAGTATGTTCATTAATCGACCGCCTTCATACTCGTTTATCTAACCTTTGTTTTCGTCATCGATCTCGACCTTTCTGAGTTTCACGGACCTGGCCCCCACGCTTGTCCTATCCTTCGCCGCCCCCTGGTGCAAGAGCCAGGGCACGTGTGCTGTGTCGTCGTCGTTGTGTCGTCGTCGTGTGGTCGTCGTATCGTCCTTTGTCGTCTGTCGTATCGTGTCGTCGTTGTCGTCGTCTGTCGTCATGTCGTCGTCATGTCTTCGTCGCCGTCTTCGTCGTGGTCGTCGTGTCGTTTCCGTCGTCGTCGTCGTCGTCGTCGTCGTCGTCGTCGTCGTCGTCGTGTGGTCGTGGCCTCTCCTGGCCGCTGTGCCTTGGCTTCCCTGGCCTCCTTGGCCTCCCTGGTGGCCCTGGCCTCCCTGGCCTGGCGGCCTCCCCTGGCCTCCCCTGGCCTCCCTGGCCTCAGGGTAGGGAACAATCAACCAATCGATTCACAAATGACAGACGGCGAGGTTCCTGTCAGCACGGCTCCGTGCGGTCGCCTGAACACCATCTTGGGCTTGCCACCGGCCAGCGCTTGCCGGGCGGAATGAATATGGATCTTGATTCTGGCCCCTCCCCACATGGTTTCGGATTGTCGTCGTCTCGTCGTGTGTCGTGTCGTCGTCGTCGTCGTCGTCGTCGTCGTCGTCGTCGTCGTCATCTTCGTCGTCGTTGTCGTCGCCCGCCTTCCTAGTCCACTCGGACCGCCCTGACGTCCTTACACTTGGCCCCCACGCTTCTCGTTGCCATTGCCACTCCCTCGTGCAAGAGCCAGTGCGTGCGTGCCACCTGTTTTCGATGCGACTGTCGCCCCAGATCGGCCGATCGGATCGATCGGACGGGGGAGTGCGTTGCCTGCGCTGTGATCCAGCAATCAAGCACAGGGTGACTCACGCTGGGCTCGGCCCGACTTGGCTCAGCCACCCCAAGCTGAGTGAAGCGATTTGCAAATAGCCTGCGTGCCAGGTCCGTTTTGGAGGAGGAGGGTGGCAGGAGGAGGTGGAGGTGGAGGATGAGAAGGACACGGGCCTCCTGCTCGTCCATCTTCTCCTGTTCCTCTTCCCTCCCTCCTCCTCTTCCTCCTCTTCCCGTTTCCTCCTCTCCCCGCTTTTTCCCTTTCCCGCCTCCCTCCTCCTGCTCCTCCTGCTCCCGCCTCCTCCTCCCGCCTCCTCCTACGGCCTCCTCCTCTTCCTCCGTTTCTCCTCCTCCCGCCTCCTCCTCCCGGTTCCTCCTCCTGCTCCTCCTCCTCCTCCTCCTCCTCCTCCCGGTTCCTCCTCCCGGTTCCTCCTCCCGCTTCTTCCTCCCGCCTCCTCTTCGTCCGCCCCTCGCTCGGTCGCCCAGCCCCTCCGTCAGTGAGGGCCCACTGCGCCCGCGGCGGGCTGCCCGGCGGCCGCGCCCCGGCCCCACCGCCGCCCGCGGAGCCGATTCGGCTCACGTCTTTCACGGGCGGCGGAGGGAGCGCCGCGCCCGCGGGGCCCGGCGGCTCGCTTTGCCGCGGCCGATGAGGCCAATCGAGGACCCGACGCCGCCGACTGCTTCTGGGCGGATGAGGAGGTGACGGAGGAGGAGGAGGAGGAGGAGGAGGAGGAGGAGGAGGAGGAGGAGGAGGAGGAGGAGGAGGAGGAGGAGGAGGAAGAAGAGGGGGCGGAGGAGGAAAAGCAGGAGCTGCTGGCGGCATCACCGCCGCTGCTGCTCCTGCTGCTCTTAGCCCCTCTTTGACATACCCTCGCTCTCTCATTTTTGTAGCATTTTTTTTTCTCCCTATCTCTCTCTCTCTCTCTCCCTTCTCTCTCTCTGTCTCGCTCTCGCCTGTTTTTGTATGTTCCTCTCTCTATACACATATATAGATGGTACGACATATATGTATGCATGCATATATGCCAATATATATAGATGTATATATTTGTATATACATATACACATGCATGCATGCATACATGTATGTATATATTTTTTATATGTGCATATGCATGTATACATACAGCTACACATGCATCCATATATGTAGTTATGTATGTGCGCAAGTACATACCTATGTAGGTATACGCGCTTGTATCTAATTGCATGTATGCATATATGCATGCAGGCATGTATGCATGCATGCACGTATGTGAGCATGTATATAAGCCTCTAAGCAGGCATGTGTGTGCGATATGAATGCTTTCATACATGCGTGTACGTATGCAAGCCTATTCTGCATGCACACACGTGTGTACGTCTGTATGTATGTATGTATACCTGAATGCATGCATGCATGCATGTATATATGTATGTGTGCGTATGCATATATGCATGTATGTATATATGAATGTACGTTTGTTTGTATGTATGTACATCTGTATATATATACACATGTACGTGCACATGCACGTATGCATGCATGCATGCATGCGCATATGCACGTATGTTTACATGCGTGCCCGCATGCATGTATGTATGTATGGATGCCGGTGTGTATATATATATATATATGTATATGAAAGTGTGTATGCATGCATGTATGCATGCATGTGTGAGTTTGTGTATGTATGTACGTATGCACATGTGTTGGTATGCATGTATGTATGCATGCATGCATGTATGCATATATGCATGTATGCATGTATGCATTTATGCATGCATGTATACATGTACGTATGTATGTATGTAGATCTGCGTCTATATGTGTATAGGTATATGGATGTTTTTGTATGCATGTATGCATGTATGCATGTATGCATGTATGTATGTATGCATGTATGCATGTATGCATGTATGCATGTATGCATGTATGCATGTATGCATGTATGCATGTATGCATGTATGCATGTATGCATGTATGTATGTATGTATGTACGTATGTATGCATGTATGTATGTACGTATGTATGTATGTATGTATGTATGTATGTATGTATGTATGTATGTATGTATGTATGTATGTATGATTGTATGTATGTATGTATGTATGTAGGTATGTATGCATGTATGCATGTATGCATGTATGTATACTTGTATGTATGTATGCACGTATGCATGCATGTATGTATGCATGTATGTAGGTAGGTAGGTATATAGGTATGCATTGAAGTGTATGCATGCATGTCTGCATAAATGCATGCATGCGCATAGGCATGTATGTATACATGTATTCATGGCTGCATGCATAGGTGTAAATATACATATTATACGCATTCGTTTGTACGCCTCTCTGTCTCTCTCTCTCTCTCCCTCCATTTTCCTTGCCTCAAAATGTCCTCCACCTATCCTCTCTCTTCTCACCCCCCCCTTCCCCCCCGTTCCCTCGCTCCCCCTCCCCTTCCGTTCCATCCCCTTCCTTTCTAGCCTCCTCCCCTTTCATCCACTCCCCTTCCGTCCTCTTCCATGCCCTTCCCTCTCGTCTCCCTCCCCTCTCTCCGCTTTCTCACCCCAGTCCCCTCGTTGGACCGAGCATGTTTTCGCTATCAGCATATGTATATAGATGTGTGTATACATCCACACACACATTATATACATATCCCCCCCCAGGGCTCCGCCACCTCCGCTACCACTCCGGGCAAATCCGTGGTACCACCCTCCCGGGCGTCCAAGAGAGCCCCCGGAGAGCCCGAAGACGGCCCAGGACGCCCCCGAGACAGCCCAAGAGTGCTCTGAGGCCGTCCAAGCCGGCCCCCCGACGGCTGTGAAAGCCTCCAAGAGCGTTTAAGATCGCCCCAAGAGGCATTCTAGAGTCCCCCAAGAGCTCCGAGGAAGCCCTCGGGATGCCCAAATCTTTGAACAACCCATGGCTAAATGATGTTATGTTTTCTCGCACTTCCGCCTCCGATACGCTGCTGAGGCTTGCGCAAGCCCCCCAGGGGACCTCCAAGAGGCCCCCAGGAGGCGCCCCGAGCGGCGCGCAGTGGCCCCACGAGGCCGCAAAAGGCTCCGAGAAGAAGGGAGGAGGAGGAGGAGGAGGAGGAGGAGGAGGAGGAGGAGGAGGAGGAGGAGGAGGAGGAGGAGGAGGAGGAGGAGGAGGAGGAGGAGGAGGAGGAGGAGGAGAGGAGGAGCAGGAGGAGGAGGGGGAGGAGGAGGAGGAGGAGGAGGAGGAGGAGGAGGAGGAGGAGGAGGAGGAGGAGGAGGAGGAGGAGGCGCAGTGACGCCTTGCCTTCTTCTCGGAGCCGTTTCGAAGGATTCTCCTCCCGGCCCCGCCTCTGCCCCTGCCCCCCCCTGTTCGCACCCCAGGAGGAGGGCCCCGGTAGGCCCTCAATCAGGAGGGGAAAACACACACAGACACAATTCATCGTCGATCCCCAGGAAAATATAGGAAAATATGGGAAGTGGTGGGGAAGACAAAAACCCAGAAAATATAGGAAAATATGGGGAATCTTTTTATTTGTGTGTATTTATTTGTGTGTCCCAGTTTCCCTTCACTCAAGAGCTCCCGAGAAGCCCTCAGGAGAGCTTCAAGATGCCATCGAGCGCCGCTCGGGATGCATCTTTGGTGCACCTGGGAGCTCTCGGGGGGAGAGCATGCGCAAGCCTCGGAGGCGTGTCCGGGGCGGAAAGGCGAGAACGCAAAGATCGTAAGTTTTCTCAGTTTTTGCTCGGATGTTTGTCTCTCGAGGGCTTCCCCAGAGCTCTTGGGGGACTCTTGGAAGCTTCTTGGGGCGACCTTGGGTGCCTTGGAGCCTCCAGAGCCAACTTGGAAACATTGAATTCCATCACATCCATTTTTTCAAGTTGGCTCATCCCCCTCCGTTCTCTTTTGTCCCAGGATTTTCGCGTGCCCCAGAGTGCGTTTCCGTTTCCCCCATCACTCGCTGTCCGTTCTCCTTGCTCTCTCCCTCTCTCTTTTTCTCTCACTCTTGGTTCTTCTCCGTCTCCCGTTCCACATCATTCTCTTTCCTCTCGTCCCTCCTCCCCGTTGCGTTATTTTCCCTCCTCCCTCTTCCCAGTCTCTCCTTCACGCCTTCCTCTCTCCGCCGCCCTCACGTGTTTCCGCCTCTCCCCTCCCTCATCCCTATCTCTCCTTCCTTTACTTCTTCCTTCCTTCGCCGCCCAGACGCCAAGAGCCACGGGGAGGCCCCCGAGGCCCGCCCAAGAAGTCCCAAGAAACCACCTTGAGACCCCCACCAGAAACCAAAGAGACCTCCCCCCAGAAGCCCCTAAGAGCCCTCCAATAACGTCCCCCCCAAAGACATGCAAAGGGGCTCCCATCAGGGCTTTCCCAGGCTGTCAGGAATTCTCGGGCGTCCCCCCCATAGGCTGCCCTGGGTCCTCCACGTGGCTGCCTTGCGCGCTTTCCTGGGGCCTGCCTGGGCGCTTTCTTGAAAACAGCAGGGGGATATCGCCCTGCACGCGTACCTTATTGCGCGAAGCCGTGTTGTACATCGCCTCCATCAGAAGAGTGATCAGCGCCATCTGTCTGGTACAGTATGTCGTGTAACATCTCAACGCTTCCCAGCAAGGTACGGTACGACCTAGAGCAAGAGAGAGAGAGAGAGAGAGAGAGAACGAGAGCGACAATGATATACATATATACATAGGGAGAGAGAGAAAGAGAGAGAGAGGAGAGAGCGGGCGAGCGAGCGAGAGCGATATTGAGTGATACATATATATATATATATATATATATATATATATATATATGTATAGAGATCAACAAGTGAGAGAGAGAGAGAGAGCGCGGCAGACAGAGCGTCAGAAAGCGCATCCGATCAAGAGTCACAGACACTATATTTACTCCCCTCCGCGCTCCTCCCCTCCCCTTCACTTTCCTCCCCTCCTCTCCCTCTCCTCTTCACACACGTCCAACTGCGTGCTTCTTTCACGTTGGCCCCGAGTCTGTCGACCTCACCTCTAGGACAGCTTCCACATCCCGTCTTCTGCGATAGCCGCAGCATGAAGACAAGTGGCCGCCGTATTCTTCACGACACCAGCGGGGTCGGCCCCTCTCCTCGGCATTGTGCTGAAAAGGAGTGGTGCGAGGGAGGGGCTCCCTAAGATGGCAGGATGTCATTCTGGAAGCCCTCCTGCCGTCCAAGAAACCGCCCTGGAAGCCTCCCCGATCCCCTCTGGGCAGCCCTTTGCCTTCTCTGGTGGCCGCCCCCTTCGCCCCGAGTCCCCTTTTGCGTGCCGCCAGACCCCCTCGCCTCTCGTCCTCGCCTCGGCCAACGTGCGGAAATGGCAGAACAGCAACTCTTCCTGCGGCTGTTGCCAGGGGTGGCCCCCAGCTTTCCCCATGAAGCACAGACATCAGTGGGCTCCAGAAACGGAGCGCTGCCTTTCCGCCGTTTCAGAAAGATGTTTCTGAGACATGAGAGCAGTAAAAGACTGCTCCTGGAAAGGAAGAGAAACGACCCCGGGATTGGAGCCGGACCTGGAGGAAACAACGGCGACGGAACCGGCAAAACAACGGCGCCAGAACAGCAGCACGACGGCAAAACGGAACCCGAACAAAAAGACTGCCCTGTCGTTTCCAGGGCCATTAAGGCACAGACGGCCTCCGGAGCGCAATTCACGGGGACTCTTTGGGGCTCCGACGCGGCGCGAAGAGCTCGGGGCACCTCCTGGGGCCCAGGGCCACCCCGACTCACCTCTCCAAGCGGCGCGCGCCCTGCGCGGCCCAGAGGACCGGGAGGCCACCTCGGACGTCTCCCCGAAGCTGGGGGTCGCAGCGTGCTCCTCTACGGCCTCCGAGCCATCCACCGCCAGAACGCGCGGTGGCCATGCCACTCGACAGGGGCCCCCGTCTTGCCCCCGAGGGGTAGGCTGCCGCGGAGGCGCAGGAGGAGGAGGAGGAGGAGGAGGAGGAACAGGAGGAGGAGGAGGAGGAGGAGGAGGAGGAGGAGCAGGAGGAGGAGGAGGAAGAGGAGGAGTAGGAGGAGGAGGAGGAGGAGGAGGAGGAGGAGGGCGGAGGAGGAGGGGAAGACTTTTTTGTCTTTCACTCTCACACCCTGTTTGGCCCTTTGGGATGCATTCGTCGCAACCGCTGGATCCGCTGCGAGCACCTGGCCAGAACGCTTTCCAGGACGGCCGATTTTGAGGGGCCAGCCCTCCAACGTCAGCGAAAAGTCACGGCGCGAGTTGAGTTTTCTGTAGATGTCGGCGCGTAGGGAGCCGCTGTCGGGCACGGGGCCATCAGGAAGAGGCCCTCTTTGGAAGGTCCGTCGTTTGTTTGTTGTTCTTCACTTGCCAGAAGAAACAGCCCCAAATCTCTCGACCTCATCCGTGGGACCGTTTCTTCATCGCAAGCTGTTTTCTGATGATCCCGTGGCCCGGATGCGGCCAGTGGGCGCCAAACTTGAGAGCAACTCCTGTGTTGATCTGTTGTGGAGAGTCAGTCCCTAGCCATTCTGGACGCCGTCTTGAGCAGCTTTTCATAGCGAGTCCAGACGTGACTCCCTCCCTCCCTTCCCTCCTCCTGGGGCTTGGCAAGATCGGCCCCCAGCTCCGTCCTGCAACGCGTCCTGACCAAGATCTTGAGGTGGATCCAGCTGTGGCGACGAAGGCCTTCCCAGGAGGCTCCAAAAAGGCGACGACCTCCCTCCACCCTCCTGCTCCTCCTCCTCCTCCTCCTCCTCCTCCTCCTCCTCCTTCCTCCTTCCTCCTTCCCCCTTCCCCCTTCCTCCTTCCTCCTTCCTCCTTCCCCTCCTCCTCCCTCCTCCTTCCTCCTTCCCCTCCTCCTCCTTCTCCCTCCTCTTTCCTCTCCTCCCTTCTCTGCAGGTCTCCAGACGCCTCTGGAGATGTCCCCAACGGCCTCCAGAGTCCCTCCTGCCCTATTTCCCTCCATGCAGAGGTCCCCAGATGCCTCTGGAAAGGTCCCCACGGTCCTCTGGACGCCTCTCTTCTTCCTCCGTCCTCCTCGAGGTCAGGGCTGTCCCGTCGAGGGCACGGCCACCGCGGTGCCAGACAGCTGTCGTCCTCCGCGTCCTCCACGTCTTCCGAGCCCTCCGGACGCTCCGTGGTGACGCTGGTCTTCGAGCTCCTCCACGGTCAGACCGAGTGGGGCGACAGCCCCCCAGCCAGGGAGGAGGGCGGCTCCCCTTCAGTCTCCGTCTCCATCTCCGTCTCCGTCACCGTCTCCTCCTCCTCCTCCTCCTCCTCCTCCTCGTCTTCTCCCTCCTCCTCCACCTTCCGCTGCTGCTGCTCCTTCCCATCCTCCGATCACTCTCCTCCTCCTCCGCCGGGGAGGGGGGATAGGGCTGAGACGAGGGGGCGAGTAGAAGGAGGACGAAGAGGCGAAGTAGTTGCATGAGGGGTGGGGGGTGGGTTTTGATGTTTTTGCCTTGTCTGGGTCTCCTGGAGGGCCCTCGTCGTCACCGCGGGATCCGCCTCCATATCATCGTCTGCGCTCCAGGTCTTGTCCGGCGGGCCGGTCTTGAGGGGGGTCCCTGAAATCTGAGCGTCGTGAGCATCAGCTTGGCAAGCGGCAGCGCAGGGCGTGGCACTCTACTCATGTTTTGCGCTCCGCAGTGAGGCTCCGGAGCAGCGGCAGGCGGGGGACGGCGAGGCGGAGAGAGCCGCGCCGAAGCTGGGCGGGCGAGGGGCAGCAGACGTCGCGCCCCAAACTCAAACGGCAAAGGGCGGGCGGAGCGAGGGCGCCAGGCAGCAGCCGGCGGCAGAGGGGCGGGAGGCGCGGCGCCCGGCGAGCGCAGGCGGAAGGCAGGCCACGGCCCGCCCAGCGGGCCGGGAGGCCGGAAAGGCCGGCACGGGGGCGAGGGGCGGGAGGGTGCGGCGAACGCAGCGGGGCGGAGCAGCGGAAGGGGAGACGCGGCCAGGGTGGGTTCCCAGCCCACCAGCAGGGAGCCCACGGGAGAGGAGCCAGGGGTGCTGAGCTGGTGCGCCAGTGGGGCAAAGCCACCGCGTGGGGACAGCGGGGAGCTGAGCCCCGAGTCAGGAGAGCGGCGTGGCCCAGGCAGGCCGAAGCCGCCGCGCGTGCCGGCGCGACACGCCCAGAGGGTCAACCCTGCGGTCAGCGCCGGGCTGTGCGGGGCGAAAGGAGGGCGAAGCATCGGCCCGTCAAGCGGAAGGGCGAGCTCCCGCCGCGCCCGGCCCATCCTCCCGCGGCTGCAGTGGGGCAAGGGCGACACGCTGACAAAAATGGGGAGAGGGCCAGGCGCCAGAGCGGGGCGATGCGTGGCTGCGCCGTCCGCGGCGCGCGCGCGGGGCGGGTTGAGCGATGGCGCCGCCAAAAGCGTGAGAGCTACTCGGGCGGAACGACCGAGGCGCCGCAGCCAGGTGATCACCGCTGAGGGTCCACCTAGGGGATGAGCCACGGCGAGGGGTGGTGCAGCGCCCCGCGCGAGGGGCCACAGCTGCGTGGGAGCGAGCCCGAGAAGGTGCGCCGTAAAATGCAGCACGGCCGCGGAGCGAGCGAGCCCTGGAGCCAGGCGATCGCCGCTGAGGGTCCACCCAGGGGATGCGGTCGCAGGCCAGAGAGCCAAAGGCGACAGGCGAGCACCGCCTCATCCCAGGAGAGGCACCAGGGCCACCGTGGGGCAGGGTGGTTGCCGCCAAGAGCAGGGACCGCACGTGGACCCGCGCGGGAGGGAGGGGCCCCGTGCCAGTGGCCAGTGGCCCGTGCCAGGGGCGTGCAGATCCACGCCCGAGGCCGCTAGCAGGCCACGGGGGGGGCGGTCGAAGGGGCGCGGGCGGGTCCACTCACTCACTGGGGCCGCCGCGAGCGGCGCCATTCGTCGCATGCAGCGCCCGCATCGGAGTGATGACTGTGTTGCGGCGGCGCTCCTCATCGTCCGCGCCGCTCCCGTCGTCGGGAGCGAGAGAGTTGCCAGCATAATGGAACCAAGTGGGCCGTCGGGGCTGGACCATCCTTCTCTTTGGCTGGTGGGCAGTGGGCCCTCGGACTTGCAGGCCACAGGTGTGGGGCTGGTGCGCCCCGAGTCGTCGCTGCCCGCAGACTCCGCAGCGCGCTCCGGGGGGGCGCGCCGCCGCTGGCCTCGGGCTGCCGCCCGCGGGTGTGAGCAGCAGCAGCAGCAGCAGCAGCAGCAGCAGCAGCAGCAGCAGCAGCAGCAGGCTGAAGGAAACGCATGGCAGCGAATTGAGCGTTTCGGGCACCATTGCCCGGGAGTCCGAGCCTCGATGGAACCCGAGGGCGCACTTTGACCCGATCCGGGGGCTGTACAGCACGGTGTCCAAGGTGGTGCAGGAGGCGCAAAGGGCGGACATGCTAACCAGACACTCGGCGGCAGAGCAGGCCAGCCGGCGCGAGGGTGCCAACGCTGCCAGGCGCGACCCTGCCGAGAGCGAGCGCCTCAAGAGCAAAGCTGCAGCGCACTTGCGCCACTGTGTGCGCCTGCGGTCGACCGCGGGCCCAGGGGCGCACGACTGGGTGGACCACTGCCCAAACGACCGCCCGCTCCAGCTGAACGACGACGAGTTCCAGTATGGAGTGCGGTGGCGCCTGGGCTTGCCGGTTATGCGTGAGACCGCAAGCTAGCACACGCCCAGCCAGAAGCGAGAGGAGGCTATGAGGTGTGGAAAGCCGTGCGACAGCCTCGGCGACCATGCGCAGCTCTGCGGCGTCGGCAGGGGCCGCTACAGAGTGCACAGTGCTGTCGCCGCCTGCCTCCGGCGCTTCGCGATGCAGAGCGGCGTGGAGGCGGAGACGGAGGAAGTCTGCCCGCCGCTCTTGCAGGGCGGGCCAGGGGCCGAGGATGCGGTGGAGGCCCGTCTCGACGTCCACCTGTGGGGGCACGGGCCGGAGCTGTATGAGGACTGGGTGGATGTCACCGTCACGAACCCGTTCAGGCTGGAGCGGCGGCGCCAAACAGCCCAGGAGGACGCCCACGGCGCGCTGACCGCGGAGAAGGCCAAATTCAAGAGGTATGGCGAGGGCCGGGGAGGAGTTGCTGTCTCCCCCTTTGGCTTGGAGGCTTGGGGCCGCTTTGGCCCCCACGCCCTCGCAGTCCTCGAGAAGCTGGCGCTGCAGCGGTCCTCGCGCGGCGGCGGGCCTCTGGCGCGCTGTCTGCAGCGGTGGCGCGCTGAGATCGGCGTGGCGACGATCCGCGCGCTGGCCGAGACCGCGGCGAGCGCCACCAGGGAAAGGGAGGATCAGTGAGCTGGCCACCATCCTTAGTATAGTGCGATCGAGTCGAGTGGATGTTCCTTGGTTGGGTCTTTAGCAGCAGCAGCAGCAGCAGCAGCAGCAGCAGCAGCAGCAGCAGCAGCAGCAGCAGCAGCAGCAGCAGCAGCAGCAGCAGCAGCAGCAGCGGCCGTGCCGGGGGGGCCCGTGCTGGGCCGGCAGGCTTCCGCGCCCGGTGCGCCAGGGAGATGACCCCGTCGCGCTGCACTCCCGTACTGCGTCGGGCAGGAGCGAGAGGGCGAGGGCGGCGGGAAAGGAGGGGGGGAGGGCGGTGTTGGGGCGCTGCGTGGCCGAACCACACAGTATGGCTGTGCAGGTTGGTGAACCCAGCGCGTCGTAGGCAGTGGGCCCAGTAGCCGCAGAGTGTAGCCAAGGCGTCGCTGGCGGAGTTGTGGCGCCAGCGCACTGCCTGCCAGGTGAGGGTCCAGCTGTGGTGCTGGGCTGCAGTGAGGGTGCGCTCCATCTGGGCTTGCAGCCTAGCCTGGCATTGGCGTCCTGTCCCCGCCCCGTAGCGGGCGGCGGAGAGATCATCCCCAACGACCTGGGCAGCGCGGGTAGCTGTGTCAATCTTTGTGAGCATGGCGGTGGCCCATCCGCAAGCCGAGGCCTCGGCGTTCTGGGCGCTGTCGACGCCGGGCAGCGTGGGAGTGGCTGCGGCGGTATGGACGGGGACCGTATCATCGGCACGGTGGCGCCAAAGCGTGATGCCTCCACCTGCGACTTCGTCCCCGCTGGGCAGCCGGCGGGCGCCGCCGTCGAAGGTGACCTCGCAGGGCCACGGGCCCGCGTCAGCGTCGAGGATGAGCGGCTGAGCGACGGTGAGCTTTTGCGCAGCGTCGACGCCGCCCAGGGTGACCAGGGTGGCACAGTGCTCCCGGCACTCAGGGCACCGAGATGCCTCTCAATGGGCAGTGTCGTCCTGCTGTGCGGCGACTCTGGGAGGGGGGGGGCCAGCCAGCGCTTGGTGGCGGCCAGGCTCCGTGCTGGGGGTCGCCGGAGAGAGAGAGCGCTGCCACGGCGGTGTGCCAGGGTGCAATGGGCGTCGGCGACCTGACAGCGGCGCAGGGAGGCCCCGGCCCGAGGAGCGGGGGATGCTATGGCGCGCGGGGAGGGGCCCCGCACCCGCCCCCTGACCTGGCGACCGGAGCAGGCACGGCAGTGGGGAGGGGGGGGGGGAGGTGCCACGCGCCCTCGGAGTTTCTGGGCTGAGGGGGAGGCTGGATGCCCTCGGGAGCTCGATCCCCGACAGACGCACACGTACACCGCGACGGACGACCGACGACCGCCGCGAGGAGAGGTGGGATTGAATCCCATTGATCGTCCGAGGGAGCCGCTCGCCGTCCGTGGACGCTACGTGGGGAAACTAGAATGCCATGAGGCCACGAGGAATCATGTGGTTGCTCCTCCATGTTTTCAAACCGTGCGAAGCTGCGCTTCAGCGGAGGATTATTTCTTGGGGGGGAAAACGCTGATAGCGTCCAACGAGGACGACGGCGGACGACGACGACGGACGACGGACGACGACCGATGACCGACCAACGACGATTGACAACGGCAGCGGCGGCGACGAAGACGGCGATGGCGACGACGACGACGACAGCTTCGCCCCCAATGAGGCGAGTCCATTGGCGTGGTCGGTGACTGCGAGGGGCTGGGCGCTTGGAGGCCGCGGCGGCGGCATGTGGTGGTTGTTGCCGTCGTCGCCGGTGTCGTCGTCTTCGTCCCCGGTCCGCGGTCCGCGGTCCAGCGTCCGCGGTCTGTCGTCCGCCGTCGTCCTCGTCCTCGTCGTCGTCGCCCTGCTCATCCTCGTCTTTCTCTCCTTCGATCAGGACCTCACAGACGCACCTCATTTCATCAGAGCCTGCAGTGCTCCCCACAGAGTTCCGAACTGCAGCCTCCTCTGTCCCAGCTCTTTCCTTCCCCCCACACTCCCCCTCCCCTTGCAGACCGCCCAAGAAGTTGCAGCATACTTCCAAAACTAGTAGGCCCACCCGAGACCCCCCCCCCTGGGACCTTCTCCTTTTCGTTCTCCTCCTCCTCCTCCTTCTCCTCGTCCTCCTCTCTTCCTCTTCCCTTCGCCCAAATCCTTCAAACATGCTTTTTGCCTCTTAGGGCCCTCTTGGGAGGCCTCTCGGAGGCCTCTTGGGGCATCTTGGAGGCTTCTTGGAGGTCCCGCCAAATGTTGGAAATTGGGGGACCCGCTCCGTGCCAAGAGGCACGGTGGCGGATGCCACTCGTCGGCGGATGTAGGAAAATCAGCGCAATGGTAAGTGATGCGGCGCGAACGCACCTAATTAGCTTGTCCGCCTCCCCTTCTCCCTCCCGCCCTCCTCTTCCTCCCCTCCTTTCCCGGCTCCCTCTGTCCGTCCCCCTCTCACCCCCCCCGGCGCCTCCTCCTACACCTCCCCCTTCCGTCGCCCCGTCCCCCCCTTCTCCCTCCTCCGCGGAGGGCACCAACCGTTCTGGCCAGGCCGATCCTTGGCCCAGGATCCGTGTGTGCGCCTTCTGCCCAAGACAGGAGGGTGTATACGCAGATCCTGTCCCAAGGATGAGCCTGGTCTCACTGAGCGCGTTCCACTACTCGCAAAGTGCCTACTCGCAA